GAAATTGTGGTTTATATACACATGGAATACTACGTGGCAATGAGAAAGAATGAAACATGGCCTTTTGTAGCCATGTGGATAGAACTTGAGAGTGTTATGCTAATAGAAATAAGTCATGCAGACAAAGACAGATACCATATGTTTTTATTCTTAGGTGGATCCTGAGAAACTTAACAGAAGACCATGGGGGAGGGGAAGAAAAAAAAGAGGTTAGAGAGGGAGGGAGGCAAAGCATAAGAGACTCTAAAAACTGAGAACAAACTGAGGGATGATGGGGGTGGGAGGGAGGGGAGGGTGGGTAATGGGTTGAGGAGGGCACCTGTTGTGATGGACACTGGGTTTGTATGGAAACCAATTTGACAATAAATTTAATATTAAAATAAATAAATAAAATAATATTTGACATGTCAAAAAAAAGTCATTTGAGGCTGAAATCTTTAAGGACAGATGACTTTTCTAAGTGCTCCTGGCTGGTTCAGTTGGTTAAGTGTCCCACTTTAGTTCAGGTCTCACTCTCACGATTCATGACTTTGAGCGCCACATCAGGTTCTGTGCTGACGGCTCAGAGCCTGGAACCAGCTTCAGATTCTTTGTCTCCCTCTCTCTGCCACTCCCTTGTTCATGCTCTCCCTCTCTCTCTCTCTCTCTCTCTCAAAATAAATAAACATTAAAAAACTCTTTAAAAAATGAATGACTTCTCCTACATCCTAGAGTGATTCCTAGGACGTAAATTCTTCTTTAATGACCCTGTGTTTTTCAACATTACTGTGGCAACAGACAGGAGATGATGGTATAGGTTCATGAAGTGATTAGTGGGAAGGGGAGGCCGGATAAGGGGAAGAGTGGAATTTGGGAAAAGAAATGACCCTAGGCCTGGAGATATAACATGACATTAATGAATAGAGAAAGAACATTCAGGAGGGTCACTGACAAAGAGAGTTCCAAGTGTGGGAAAACCAGAAGAGTTCATTTCTGACTCTTAGTAGTAAGCTTTGTGTCTTTCAGAGGCAGAGTCACAGTGGAATTGGAATCAGGCAGATAGTGATTTGACTCCCTGTGACCAGGACCCTGTGAGGTGGGGACACTCGGCAATGACACAGAGGTGACTGAGGGAGCCTGAGAGCAGGAGCAGCCCCATATGGACTGTGTGGAAAAAAAGGAGTGGTTCCAGTACTGGCCCCTGAGTCTGTTCCTCACCCGACAGAGTGAGAGCAAAAGAAAAGGTCTCAGGTGCATGGTGGTCTAGAAATGGTCACCATTAGGGTTTCTGGAAAACTTTGTACCTTCTAACAACCTCTGGGAATAGGAGGCCATCATAGTAAGAATATGTTTTCTGCTTTCTATTTCTCATGGGACTGTTTGCATTGCAGGTCAGAACCTCGTGCCACTGAGGGTGTGTTGGGCTGGAGTTGATCTGGTGCAGGGGCATGAGAATGGTCTGGGGGCTGAGCTGTAGTTTTATGAGACATAAAGACCCTGGCCTATGTCCCCTGTGCAGATTGTCCATAGTCCATGCTCCGACCTGAATAACACGGAGGATGGAAGGAAGATGATACAGGTGGCTGGGACTTCTTTTGCGAAGCTTCCATCATTTTCTTCTACCTGGACCCCAAATCTCCCAAATACATGGTTAGTCAGTGAGTCCAGGTCCCACCAGACAGTCACTGTGTTACCCAAAGCAATAGGTATCCCTTCCCCGGTTGCCATGATGGTGTCAGGGCAGAGGGTGGGGTGGTTTGATCCAGTCATCCTGAAAGCTGGGGTTTCTTACCAGTGGGTCAGTAAGGGCCGGTCTCTGTCATCCAGACGTTATGTTGTGTGGACATTACCTGGGACTGCAGACACATTTTCCCCATGTGGGAAGTCAGTGTGAGACACAGTACATCTGGCTTATGTGTCCTCTTTCTTCCCCAAGACGGTGTCAGCTCTGTGAGCATGGGGACCCTCCCTGTCATTTCTGTACTGTGATCTGAGCCCCGAGCCCACATAGGTCATGTAGTGAGGGTTCTCTCAATGCCACACATGTAGAGCATGTGGATGGTTGACTCAGGATACTGAATCAGACACAGCTATACTCTGTGTTGCTGGTTCTGTCCTGGTGCTTTGATATGGACTGAACTGTGTCCCCGTAGATTCCTATACGGAAACCCACACTGTGACTTCATAGACTTTATAGAAGAGGTAGACACAGCATGGGTGAGCACACGTGGAAATGCCATGTGAGGAACCAGGACAAATGTAACCATTTGCAAGACAAGGAGAGAGACCTCAGCGGACATCAAACTTGCCACCACCTTGAACTTGGACATTTAGCCTGCAAAACTGTGAGAAAATAAGTATCTTTTGATTTGCTCACCCAGTGGGTGGTATTATGTTATGGCAGCCCCAGCAGGCAGGCACAATCCTCAAGGACTCTGTCCCCAGGGCAACCGGCCCCAGCATCCAGGAATTTGTGCTCAGTATGCATAACACAGAAAATGTCCTCCTACAAAGACAGGGTTTGGTGTCTGAATTGAGAGGACAAGGACACATACTCAAGAGAAAGTTCACTGGTTTGGGTTTCAGACCTCAGTTTTAGGGAAGCAGCTGTGTTGGCAGAAGGTGGGGGCTGCACAAGGAAAGCGCATCAGTGTGGGGACAGCAGGTTTTTGTCTCACTTCCCCATGGGCCTGGAGCTCTGTGTGAGCTCTCAGACTATCATCCCATGCTGAGCAGTAATAATCAGCCTCATCCTCAGCCTGGAGCCTAGTGATGGTCAGGGTGCCTGTGCTGCCAGACTTGGAGCCAGAGAATCGTTCAGGGACCCCCGAGGGTCTGCTATTATCCCCATAGATTATGGTTTTGGGGGTTGTGCCTGGGAGTTGTTGGTACCAGCTCACATAATTGCTACCGATGTTGGAACTGCTTCCAGTGCAGGTGATGGTGACCCTCTGGCCCAAGGAGCCTGACACCGAGGATGGCTGAGTCAGTACAGACTGGGCCCAGGACCCTGGAAAATGGAGAGACACAGACAGGGTGAAGCTGGGGTCTGGACACAAGAGGGTGGAAGCAGGGCCCACATGTCCTCTCAGTGCCCCTTCCCCTGTCCCCACATCCAATCACCTGTGCAGTGAGCGAGGAGGGTGAGAAGGACCGGAGACCAAGCCATGGTGGAGACCATCACCAATCCTGTCTTCTGTGCCCCACAGCTGAGCAGACTTCCCTTAATCTGTCCCTTTTCATCCACTGAGAGAGGGCGGGCCTGTCCATGCAAATGATACCCCAGCTCTCTGACCCCTCACTGGACCTGATTCAGGTGCTTCTGCCTGTGGATGTCAGGGGGTGGGCAGAGGAATGGCTGTGTGGGGACAGGTTGTGCAGAAGTCACAGTTATGAGTCTCAGTAGAGGGCACAGGCAGTGCAGGTGGCAGGTCTCAGGTCTCATCACCCCTGAACCCTCAGAAATGGGCCCTGTGAGCCCCCTTGTGTCCAGACTCAGAAATATCATTGTGCAAAATGGTAACCAGAGACCATAAAAGGAGCTCCTGTCCCCCATTGCTTTGTCCACTGCCCCTTTACTAGGACCAGGCCAGGTATCCTTCTGGGTAGCCTCCCATATCCTCAAACCAGACTTTCTGCTCTACTCAGACTCCTCCAGAAAAGCCAGGCCATGTGTCCCTGTATGTTTCATGGGTCAGGACTGAGGTGGTATTTCTACAAAAATGCCACTTAGATCAGAATCATGTCCAGAGCAATGATGAGTACCAATGGACACGTGGCCCCTTCTGCATAGGATTCTGTGTTCCTTCCTATTATGTGCTTCCTCCCTGGTTTCCAGATCTCTCCTGCTCTGAGGTTCCCACAGCCTGAACAGAAGCTCTCCTTCTGTCCTCAGTGCTGTGGGAAGGAACAACTGTGTGTATTCCTAAGGTCACTGTGCAATAAAAATCTTTGTCATCTGTCACTATGTCTGCTTATTTAAGATGACAGTTCTCCACACACTGTGGTTAGTGATTCCCTCCCAGGATCTGTCCCCCCAGAACACAGATACGAGTCTGCAGGGGTCCTGTGTGTGGCACTGAACACAGAGCCCAAAGGGCAAACCTGCAGGAAGTTCCAAGAGGGAAGGAGTGACCGCAGTAGGTTCTCTGACAGGGTTCCAGTGACACGGTTTATGTGTTAGTCAACACTTAGCCAAGTGTGCACTTTAGAAATGGGCAGAAAACATGAACAGACACTTCTCTAACGAAGTCATCCAGAAGGCCGACAGGCACATGGAAAGATGCTCAACATCGCTCCTCATCAGGGAAATACAAATCAAAACCACACTGAAATACCACCTCACACCAGTCAGAGTGGCTGAAATGAACCAGTCAGGAGACTATAGATGCTGGAGAGGATGTGGAGACATGGGAACCATCTTGCACTGAGGGTTGCAAACTGGTGCAGCCACTCTGGAAAACAGTGTGGAGGTTCCTCAAAAAATTAAAAATAGATTGACCCTATGACCCTGCAATAGCACTGCTAGGAATTTACCCAAGGGATACAGGAGTGCTGATGCTTAGGAGCACTTGTACCCCAATGTTTATAGCAGCGCTTTCAACAATAGCCAAATTATGGAAAGAGCCTAAATGTCCACCAACTGCTGAATGGATAAAGAACATGTGGTTTATATATACAGTGGAATACTACTTGGCAATGAGAAAGAATGAAATCTGACCATTTTCAGCAATGTGGATGGAACTGGAGGGTATTATGTAAAGTGAAATAAATCAGTCAGAGAAAGACAGATATCATATGTTTTCACTCTTATGTGGATCCTGAGAAACTGAACAGAAGACCATGAGGGAGGAGAAGAAAAAAAAGTTCGAGAGGGAGAGAGCCAAACCATAAGAGACTCTGAAAAACTGAGAATGCAACAGGCACATGGAAAGATGCTCAACATCGTCGCTCATCCAGGAAATACAAATCAAACCACACTGAATACCACTCACACCAGTCGATGGGTAAAATGAACCAATCAGGAGATTATAGATGCTGGAGAGGATGTGGAGACATGGGAACCGTCTTTGCACTGAGGAGTTACTGCAACTGGTGCAGCCACCTGGAAAACAGTGGGAGGTTCCAAAAAATTAAAAATAGATGATCCTTATGACTCGCAACACATGCTAGAATTTACCCAAGGGATCTCAGGGTGCGAGCTAGGATGACTTGTCACCCCAATGTTTTATAGCAGCCAACAATGGCCATGATTAAGAGTCTGAAAAAGTGCATCCAACTGACTGAATGGAAAGACATGTGGTTTAATATACAGTGGATATTACTTGGCAATAGAAAGAATGAAATCTGAGCCATTTTCAGCAAATGTGAATGGAACTGGAGGGTATTAGGCAAAGTGAAATAGGTCAGTCAGAGAAAAGCAGATATATCATATAGTCACTCTTATGTGGATCCTGAGAACTTAAACAGAAAGACCTTTATGAGGGAGGAGAAGAACAAAGTTCGGAGAGATGAGGGAGAGAGCCAAACCATAAGAGACTCTGAAAAACTGAGAATAAACTGAGGGTTGATGGGGGGGGGGAGGAAGGGGAGGGTGGGTGATGGGCATTGAGAAGGGCACCTGCTGGGATGAACACTGGGTGTTGTATGGAAACCAATTTGA